CGTTAACTCGATTCGGTGCCTCACTTGCTGGTTCTCAACTCTTCCTTATATGGTACTCTTCAGATTCCTTTCTCTTAAACCCTAATTTTCCTTGCTGATTCTGTAATAATAGACTTGGTTTAGTGATGATGAATCTTGTTGCTGGTTCATTGCAAGGTTGCTGCTTTGAATATAATGTCAGAGACTGGTGATTTATTTCTAGAGCTTTCCCAATATGATCCATTTTACCAACATAAAAAGGTGTGATTATGCCGATTTCACTGTTATTTTTTTTTTTTCAGTTTCAAAGATTAGATTTTTTTTTATGGAGCAAAGTAAGACTTTACACATTTTGTAGTTCTTTCTGGAATATTAAGTTGTCTTAATCAGTATAAGTCTATCTTCATTAGATTTTCTCATGTTTCATGTAATACTTGATGTCTTTTATGAACAACTTATGATTGTTGTCTGCAGAAGCTCTTGAGTTGCAAAGGTTTAGGCGTAAAGGAAACACTGAGTCTTAGTGGATCATTGTCTCAACAGTTTTTGAATATTGCTTTCGAAAAGTTGCTTCAGTTTGGAAGAATAGCGAACCTCGATAAGGTAAAGCTATACACGTTCTTGCCTTCACTTGCTTGTTGTTTGATTGTGAGGTTGCTTAGATGGTGGATTGAGTGAAATGCAGGTGGAAGTTTATTTTGGCGAGGATGCTTGCACTCCATCGGGAGTTTACACCATTAGGAACGAAATCTCAGCTCTAAGCTGGATCCTTTCGGTCATACCGCTTTCTTGTAAAACACAAACACAAACCGCTTCTTTGGAAGCTCTGCGAGCAGCTGTAAAAATCAGAATCAATGAAGTTGTTGGAGCGGAAAAGGAGGAAGCTAGAGTTGATTATAGCTATATATGTGAAAAGGAAAGCAGATTGGTACAATGGGGTCAGGAAAATGGAGTCAAAACCAAATTGCAGATAGCTCGTAAGCTTAAGCGGTTTTTTTTTGTTGTGAAGTTAGAAATTTCAACAATGATTTAAGTGTGTTATAATGTGTTTTATTTGTATAGAGATCGATGGATATGGACGAGGAGCTATAACTACCGAAGACTTGAAATTTGGTGATGTTGCTTTAGAGATTCCAATCTCAAGTGTAATTTCTGAGGAGTATGTATACAACTCCGACATGGTATATCGTGTTTTTTCATTATGAATCAAAGATTGTGTCGGTTTCGTCATCTCAATGTTATATGATGAGTGTTTTTTTGTCTTCAGTACCCAATACTGGAGAAAGTAGATGGTATGACATCTGAGACAATGCTGCTTTTATGGACCATGAGGGATAAACATAACCCGGAATCGAAATTCAAACCATACTTTGACTCTCTGCAGGAGAATTTTTGTACCGGTAAAATGTTTTGGAGAACTATTCCCTAATTCTTCTAGCTGTTTTTTTTTTTTTTGCTTTGACGAGATAACAAAACACTAATTCTATTACAGGTTTGAGTTTCGGAGTTAATGCAATCATGGTGCTTGATGGTACATTGCTTTTAGATGAAATAATGCAAGCTAAAGAGGTGTGACGAGATCCCGTCAATAGTTATGTTTTGGTTCTGTGATCTGTATTCCATTCTTGATTGATTCCATTGGTAATTATTTGTATATCTGCAGCTTTTGCATGAGCGGTATGATGAATTAATTCCTCTTTTATCGAACCACCGGCATATATTTCCACTGGAGCTCTATACATGGGAACATTACTTATGGGCTTGTGAGTTGTATTACTCTAATAGCATGCAAATCAAATTCCCTGATGGAAAGCTCAAGACTTGCTTGATTCCTGTTGCCGGTTTTCTCAACCATTCGGTATGTTTATATTCTCTCTCTTTTTGGTATTCCTTAGCATTTTCTGGATTGATAATTTGGCGGATATGCAGATACACCCACACATAGTAAAATATGGAAAAGTAGACGTTGAGACGAGTTCCTTGAAGTTCCCACTTTCGAGGCCTTGCAACAAAGGGGAACAATGTTTTCTTAGCTACGGAAACTACTGTAGTTCGCATCTGTTGACATTTTACGGATTTTTACCAAAAGGCGATAACCCGTATGATATCATTCCCTTAGGTAGTTCTTACTTTCCCTCTACTAATCATTCTGAAATCACTCAGACTTTCTTCCAATTTTTGCCTGAAGTTGTGTTTGAAATTTGAATCTCTCTTCCTTGCAGATTTTGATGTCATTGATGATGAAGAAACCGAAAGTGAGTTTTCTTGGACAAGTCACATGTTACGTGGGACTTGGCTCTCGAGCAATCACGACATATTCCACTACGGTTTGCCTACTCCATTGTTGAACTACTTGCGGAGAGCTCATGGCCTTGTTCGTCATTCCGAAACAGATGTATCTAACCTTATAACCACCATCTTATAATTTTCTGCTGGCCATTAATTGCATCTCTATCTCTGAATCTAACATTTAGATATTTATCTCTTTTCTTGATTCTTTGAAGCTATGGAAGAACTTGGAAGTTGAGATTGGAGTACTCGAAAATCTCAGATCCACATTTGACGACATGATGCAAAATCTTGGAGATGCGGATTCTATCGACAGGTAAAAGTAGTCGTCGTTATGATATAAGAAAAACCGAAACAAAGCGAGCGAATTTCCCTATTTATCCGATTGTTTTTACAGAGAGAACGCTGATTGGGATGTTAAAATGGCGATGGAGTTCAAAGAGCGGCAGAGAAAGATCGTTTCTTCCATTCTTGATTCATGTTCTGCAGGTATCAAACTAATTCAAGAAAGTAAACCACCGGTGTAGCCAAGCCATAACGAGAAACCAATCTTGGATTCAGTTTTAATGAAATGTATCTTTTGGCACACCGAAAAACATTTCAATTTCATTTGGATTCTGTTTTTCGGGTTGCGAGTTTGGCTCAATTATAATTAGATAGTCTTGAATTGGTTCAATGAAATTAATAAACCAAGATGGACAAATCTCGGATATTTGAAGTTAACTATGCCTAATCTAACACTTTCCCCTTAATCATCAACTATGTGTGGTCAAGTGTTTTCGTTAGCAAATCAGCAGAGCATGAATTCATCAATCTATAACGCCACGATGATCCATAGCGTACCTCTCCTTATTGATTATGTAATTACAATCGAAATCTCGTTCGGGATCTGAATTCATCAATCTATAACGCCACGATGATCCATAGCTTCTCGACAAAGCCATTTAAGGAGTTTCCAGTAAGTGGCCTCACTCTTGGCACAAGAGTCTAACTTGTTGTAGTACTTTTCAGCCGCGGCTGTGCCTTTATGCAGCGCAATAAGATCAAGATAAACTCCATGCTGGTCGGCTGAAAATTTCATTTCCCTTCTCTACATCAACTCATCTACAAGGACAAGAAACG